TAATCCATCCCTTCTTGCCAGACAGATTCCATGAGAATCTTGCTTGGGGGAAAAAACTTTGGACCAAGATCAGCCGGGCAGTGTGTGCCTGCAGCCCCTGAGTTGCAGGGGAGAAGTCAGCAGTCTTAAGCCAGCATGTAGCAGAGCTGTGGGTCAGACATCGCAATAAATTAAAAATATCTGCCAGACGAAGGTAAGCCAGTGCATGGAGGTCTATTAGGAGCCCAAAAGGAACATGTGCTCAACTTGCACATGGGGACAGCAAAGGCACTAATGTAGAGCAGCCTTTCCCAGGCTGGGGCTCCCCAGGCATGTGAATTACAAGGCCCACCAGGCCAGCCAGCCACCCGGGGCTCAGAGGACAGCCTTGGTCTGGGAAGGGTGATACCAAAGAATCTGCTTTAGACAGAAGGGGCCATTCTTCTAACACACACCCAAGCAGTTGCGTCGATAGGAAGGTAGAAAGTGGCCTCTCTGGGGCCTGTCCACCCGCCCAGCCGCAGGGAGGATTCTGCCCGCCTTTCCCGGAAGAATGCCGACCTCCGCTTCATACTTGGTCTCCTCTAAGCGGAGGCTTCAGGGCGGTGCTGAGCCACTGGGCTGCGCCAGATGTCTGGCTCTCTGCAGCTTCGCAGCAAAGCCGGGTCTCCAAGCGGGAAAGGCTTTTCCGTGCTGGAGACTTCCAGTTGCTTCTCTTCCTTTGCTTGGCCCCGTCCCCTTCCCTCCCTTCAAACAAGTCTTCCTGGCTCGCTGCTGATCCTGAATCAACGCCGCATTATAGACCCTTGCAACGGAGGGGTCTTTGCTGCAAGAGGTGTTTGGAAAGCATTTCATCCAGACAGAAAGAGAGTTCGCAGGGCAAGGCAGTGCGTCTCTCCCACGCAGCCCCCCTCCCTTGGTGAAGAGTGTAGGAGCCGCATACTCCCTGAAATAACCCTTTTCAGTGGGAAGAAAGTATTCCAGAAACAATTCCCTGTAAAGAGGCTGTGGCTTCAAGAAGATGCCCAGAAATCCTGTCTTGCAAACCCAGATCGTTTTGTGAATAAAACACTAACTCAAATGATAACCCTCCTTTGGAGGAAGAGCTTCCAAATTTCACAGGGACGCAGCCTGGGAAGATCCACGGGGAATCTGAGCCTCTAAGGAACTTGTGGGCGTCTTGTCCACGAAGGAGCCACTCCCCAGAATGAGAGGGAGATACAGCCCTTCTTGAGGTCTGCTTGAAGGTGGTGCATCGCATTAGGCCATTGCGTTAAGGCCAGCTCCCATTAAACTTACAGGATCTTGCTTAATGGCAGCTGGATCCGGAAACTTTGGATGGTTGCCCGGGAAATGCTGAACAATCGCCCTTCCTATTAAAAGTGGTGCGGAAGGCCAAATGCTTTCTGGGGAGGGAGTTCGTGTGAATAAACGTCGTGAAGGCTACCAGAGGTCATTTGCTTCACGTTTTGCATCCCACGCCATCCTTGGGGGGGATCGCCCATCCCCAGTCGTTTTTGCCATCTGGAAAAATCAGGCAGGGGGAGCGAGCTCTCAGTCCCCTCGATAAGGTCATCTCTGGGGACCCCGAAAATGCACCTTGTCTGTGGTGGCACCTGCCTTCTGGAATAACAGCCCCCT